TATCTTTGCCGATTTTTATTTTTTTTTGGTATTGAAAAATGCCCTGAAAATTTGCAGATATGTAGTTTGCATAATCAGTAACTCATTAAAAAAGTTTTAAAAAATAATATTTTTTTTGAGCCCCGAAATATAGTGAAAACAAAAAGTGAAAAGTGAAAAAAAACAAAATAGTGAGTGGGCGAGCACGTTTTGACACCCCCATCTTTGACGATTTTTAATGTTTTTTTGGCTTAGCAGAATGGCTTCAAAATTTATAGCCGTGTAGGTTACATCATAGAAAACTCAGAAAAAAAAAATCAGAAAACAAAATTTATGTTTAGGCCCCGAAATGTTTTTTGGCGGGGCCCGAACCTGGAGTTGTTCGGCCCCCGAACGGGACCCCGAACGCCCGAACGTTCGGGGCCCAGCCCGGGCGCCCCTGAACGTTCGGTTAGGTAACCCTGTATATATATATATATATATATATATCCAGCCTCCTGAGTCCTGATGAGTCGGTGAAACTCTCTCTCTCTATATGTATGGATATATAGATATAGACTAGGCTACCACAGCTGACTACAGCAGATTTCAGCGCAGCCCAGAGCAGCCTGGTTCAGCCTGTACTACAGCAGATTTCAGCGCAGCTCAGAGCAGCCTAGTTCAGCCTGTTTTTTCAGCCTGTTTTCTGTTGCTCTCTGTTTTTCTAGTCTTTCCAGTTTTTTCAGTTGCTCCAGTTTGTTCCAGTTTTTTCCAAACACTTGCTATTACAGATGTGCAAGACCCAATAGGCGCCAAGAGGATAGTAGGTGGCTGGCTGAGGCTAGGGGATGGAGGGAGACTCCACTCGTGCCCCCCGGTGGTTCCCCCCCCAATACCCTACTGTGTGGCAGGTTAGGCAGGGAAGAGTAGATTGAACATGGGACGCTGGACCCGGTTTCCAGCAGGTGCTGCTCCCCACCAATAGATGGAGCGGGCCCGTAGGCAAAGCCTCAATCCTGGTGGTTCTCTTACCACCACCAGGATAGAGGTCTTGCACAAGGGCCTTAAAAAAAAAAAAAAAAAAAAAAGACTAGGCTACCAGCCGGGCCGCCCGGGTGACCCTATTTTCCCGGGCGGCTCGGCTGGGCAAGGACCAGGGTAGGTCCCAGCCAAAAAAAAAGTAAATAAAAAAAATGCAAGAAATCAGAAAAACAACTATGTTATGCAGTAAAATAAACTGAACAACTTTTGCCTCGGTGTCGCATGGAAATTCTGTACCAAATTTAAAATACAAAGTTTAATTAAAAAATATTTTTTTAATTATTTTTTTATTTCTTTTTGGCCTGGCCGGGCAAGGGGACCCGGGCCACTCTGGTAGCCTAGGATATAGACATATAGATATATAGATATATATATCTGTGTGTGTGTGTGTGTGTGTGTGTGTGCGTGTTCTGTTTATTAACTATGGTAGCATCGGGCATAGCACACACGTGTTCACCGCTCCACGCGTTCACTCTTTCTACTAAGCTCCGGACGCATTTGAGTCAGATTCATCCAGGTGGTGTAATCGTTGTCATATGCAGTTTTTGTTAATTGGTCGTGAGCATGTGTTTCTTATGTTTGGAAGATTTGATGGTTCTTTTGATCGGGATCGGGGTCGGTGCCAGGCTTTGCTGACCGAGATGAAGCCCTTGTTTACAGCGACGGGGTTGGGGCTGGGTTCTGAGCTCTCAGAAGGGCGGGACAACCCGGCTGTCCCTCATGTTCCTTGGATTGCCGATCTATCTATCATTAGGCCCCGCTCCACTGCTCTCGAATGTGCAAAATGAGACTGAATCCTCCGCTAGAACGTGGAAATATACACCGCCATATCTTGTCCTTAGTGGATGTGGATGTAGTGGCCATGTCACTGGGCCCTGATAAAATAAAAAAGGTTTCCTTCTGATTAAGAGCACAGTGTCACAGACAACGGGCCTCGCTCCACTACTCTCGACATGCACAAACGATAAAAATAATGGTAGTGTATCTTCCCATGTTCTACCTCAGGCTGAAGATTCCCTCTCGTTTTGCACATGTCGAGAGTAGTCGAGCGAAGCCGAATGTCATCTGAGGACCACTCCACTCAGCACCCGCATTCGGAGCACTCCAGTCCACAGCACCCCCACACATATAACACCCCCCCCCCCCCCCCCCCCCCCCCCCCCCCCCCCCCCCCCCCCCCCCCCCCCCCCCCCCCCCCCCCCCCCCCCCCCTTCCTCCTCCTCCTCCTCCTCCTCCTCCCCCCCAGGCCAATATACGTATTTATAATCCCGAGGGCAGATGCATTGCCGCTCTGGGTCATCGTTGTTGCTTGACGTGTTGAGGTGGTCAGTGTATTTGGTTATCCCGATCCAATTCGATCAGATTGCGGTGCGGTAGTTGCAGTCTTGCAGAGTCATCGATCACACGCGGATGAGAGAGAAAAGCGCGGGTCGGCGGGCCCCTTTCCTTCGAGCGCACGGTAGGGAATTCCGCCCTCCCTGAACATCAAGCGCGGGGGCGCGGGGCTGCGGGGGCACGAGGGGGAAGACTGGTCTGTGGTTGGCGGGGAATTCTTGTCCGTCTGGCCTCTCTTTCAGCCCGGGGGTCATTTTCAGGCTATTTCAGCCATGGCTGCTCCCCGTGGTGCCATCCCTGGTCCAGCATTTTGGACCGGTTCGCTTGCCGCCGGTGCCATCTCTCGTGCCCGCCTTGGCGCCATTTTTTTGGACGGCTCCGCCGCTGCCCGAGTGGTAGTCCCCGCCAATTACCCCCTCCGCCTCTCGTCGCAATCTGCGCGAACATTCATCATCGCTCATCCTGCTGCCGATCCTGCTGCCGAGGTGAACAGTGCTCCGGTGATTCTGAGTCGTCCTCGCGTCGGCGGCAAGGTTGGCCTACCGGCAGTAGTGCCAGAGACGCTACGGTTGCTTGGAGGCAGCTTTGGTGGCTATGGCGTCGGAGGTGTGAGGCGATCACACTCTCGCTCCTCCTCTCGATTGATCGGCGCGAGTTCGATTCTTCTTCGCGGGAGTTCCGCGATGGTAGCGCCGGCTATCGGAGCGACGACTGCGCTGTCTTCAAGCCTATGGACATGGCGGCGAGAGATCCCGATCCCGGTCAAGAAGGGGGACGGCAGAAAACTCGGTGATGATTACGGTGAAGGAACACGGAACTTTCGTAATGTCTTCGGCTTTCATACTTTGAATGGTCGTCTGACTGGTCTCCAAGTGAACCGAACGACAGACTGGATAAGAGAGAGAGAGGTGTTTGGGAGAGGGAGGGAGGGAGTGGAGTGGAGGAGGAGGGAGTTGGCTGAAGGCACCCGGCGATCATGGCGGATTGCCGGCGGCGGCAGGGAAACCGGCGGAGGAGGTGGTAGCCAGCTCCGATGCGCACAGATCTCGAAAGCGTCGATCCATCTCGGGCAACAACGAGGAGCTCGTTGGGATCCCTCCTCTTCTCCCCTTCCTCCCTACGCGGCCGCCCCTACCCGCGTCGCGGCCTTGTCGACGACTTATTCGTTGACGGGAGCAGTTGATGGCAAAGACAGGAGGAGGTTGGATTTTGCCGTCTCGGCTCTGAACACCGCGGTGGAGGAAGGATCCCATACACACGAAGTGGTTCCTCCGCCGGATGAGTTCGTGCGCAATGCGTTGATTTCCTCACGGGAACAGGTACGCCGTTTTCTTTTCCTCTTTTTTTTGGGAACGAGGAAAGCCTTCAAGTTTGTGCCTGCCGCCACCGGCTTTACACTCCCTCTCTCTCAGAGTCTCTCTCTGGCTTTGTATGTCTGTGGCCGCTGTTTCTCGTGCTTCGATCAACCGATTTTGCCGTTCGACACTGCCTTCGACCCGTATCGAGATTTTGTCACGAGCCGCTCGATAGAGGAATGCCGGAAAACGGAAGGCAAAGTCTATTATTAGCAGATACACACACACACACGGGGAGAGAGAGAGAGAGAGAGAGAGAGAGAGAGAGAGAGAGAGAGAGAGAGAGAGAGAGAGAGAGAGAGAGAGAGAGAGAGGGGGGGGTGGACATGGTCCGGGAGCATGTAGAGAGAGAGAGAGAGAGAGAGAGAGAGAGAGAGAGAGAGAGAGAGAGAGAGAGAGAGAGAGAGAAGGAAAAAGAGAGAATGGAGGATCGGTTGGACATGGTCCGGGAGCATGTAGAGAGAGAGAGAGAGAGAGAGAGAGATGGGCATGGTGAAGGAGTATGTAAATCGCAGTTTTTTTTCCACACTATGTTTCCCCATTCTCCCTCTGGTCGTACACACGTTGCAATGCGCCCCCTTTTTATTTTATTTTATTGATGTTATCGAAAAGAGATCATAATTGTGCTGGTAGTGCCGGAGGTTCAGCCAAAGATTACTGTTTTGTCAAATTCTCAGTAATTATAGTTTTCCGTGTTTCATGAGATTTCATAGTCACTGTGCAGTGTGCACTAATGTCTTTCGAGATTATTTTGAATTGAGATTATTTTGAATTGAGATTATTTTGAATTGAGATTTTTCCACTTCCTTGAATAATTTGAATTGATCGTAGTTTATTTAACTTTATTAGTTTGTGTACCGATCACAAGATTTATCTTATGTTATTGCGTGCTCGCTTATCAGATTATTTTCAGTATTTATTACCGTCGTCGTCCAAATACAAAGCACCTTTATTATGACTGTATCGGACGAGAAAAGTAGCTTCTTTACATTCATGATCAGTCTGAGAGTGCATAATGTTAGGGGCAAGAGGGCAATATTATCGCCTTCGTGCCACTACTCTCTACATGCACAAAAGACGGAAACTGTAGTGGTGTATCTTTCCCTGTTCTAGCGCAAGATCCATTCTCATTTTCGGGTTTTCCACGTTTGGAGAGTTACTAGTGGAGTGAGGGCGTATGTCAGTTTACTGAGGGAATGAACCTGGTTTCTGGTTCACAATGAATCTGGTCTCCTTCTGAATTAGATTCACTCTATGCTCGTTACGTCCTCGCCTCACTGAGGTTATGAAATTGGTTTCTGGTAGAGAGTGAATCTGTTTTCCTGCTCGACCAGATTCATTCTGCGTCAGCGGCTAAGTTCTGTTAGGTCCTTGCGTTACTTGTGGTAGGATTCGGTTCAGAATGAACCTGGTTTCTTTCCTAACTAGATTCATTCTACTTCAGCGACTTAGCATGACAATTGCCACACTACCTGACCCCAACCAGCCGTCTTCTGCAATTTTATCCTTTCTTTTTTTTTTTTTTGATAAAATGGCTACCATTTTATGCTCTAGTGCACTTCACGTCTCTCTAGCCCCTGCCGCAACATAGGGCCTCGCTGCTCCGGTACTCACCTCCTGCCCGAAGGACGTTACGACAAAAGAAATGGCGGCGTATGTTACCATTTCTAGCATAAGATTCATTCTCATTTTCATCATTTGGTGAGTAGTTGAGCGAGGCCCATCTTCAACGAATCCACGTAGCAGTATCAAAATTTTATGATTTTTTTTTTTCCCGGGATAAAAATTGATGATTTTTTTTTTTTTTTTTTGGGTTAGTTCAATTGACGTCAGTGTCAAGCAATGGAAAGACAAAGGCCGAGGTCCCACAAGCAAAGAGGATTGGATACATATCCTGAATCTGGACGTGTTTTAAGCAGAGATGCAGAAAAGCAGTTTAATCTCGACTTTCTGCACCTTTCCACAAACAAGTCCAGATTCAGGTGTTCAATCCAATCCTCTTTGCTAGTGGGACCTCGCCCAAGGATGAGGAAAGCAGCTGGATCGATGACCACCCGCCCGCCCCTCAAAAAAAAAAACCGACCTCCTCCCCCCGCCAGCAGTGAATGGCGCGTGTGCGGAGAAAGAGATTCCCGCCCCATCCATCCCCTCTTCTCCTCCTCTTCACAGTTTGCATCCTGCAGATCGTTTTTGCCAGCTTTTTTTTTGTCTTCTTAAAACGTCGACGGCCTTGAGTTATGGGTAATAGTTCCCGCTTTTTTTTTTTTTTTTTTTTTTTTKTCCCCGCTTTTTTTGGCTCAGCCAAGTGTTGCCGGGTCCAAGTCCCACTTACCTGAATTCTCAATTCTCGACCTTCGATTAGCAAGATCGACGGCGAGAAATGAAGAAGTGTAAAATGTCCATAATGGATTGCGACGTTATTCTTTCCGGGTTGTTTGAGAGGAATTCCCCGCCCCATGTTTTTTTTTTGGACCATTTCTCGATCTATGCGTCTCATCCTTGCGCAGGGGCCATGCTAATCTTCTCTGTATCGTTCCAATTTTTACGGATGTCCCGAAGGACTCATGTTTTTTTATGATAATGGATTCCTTGCTTCCCCCCCCCCAAAAAAAAAGGAAAAACGAAAAAGCGAGATATGATCGTGGAACTGACCGGCCCCAGCTAGTTCCGCAATATGTAGTAAAATAATAAATCGATTTATGAAAATATATTTCAATTGATATGTTGACTACTAATGGACAAATTGAATATACATGAATATAATAATAATAGAATACATCTAAACAATATATAATAAATAATATGGGATATAATAGAATGTAAACAGGATATAATATAAAGAAACAAATAATAAATAAAAAGTGATAGATGCTATTTCGTTCATCTTCTTCCATCTGGTTTCGAACTGACTGGCAGCAGCTACAGTTTTCACCAGAATACAGCGTAACGTCATTATAGCTGTATTTGGGGCAACTTTGCGTCTAGATACAGTGATAATGACCGTACGTTGTATTCGGGTGAAGACTGTAGTTCCGGAATTTCGTTCATCTACCGTCTTCACCCGAATAGAACGCCCGGTCAGTATCCGGTCTTTATGTCAAGTTGTCATCAGATTGTTGGTGTACCAACTACCAACTAACCTATAAGACGGTTGGTGTGATGTTTTTTTTTTTTTTTTTTTTTTTGTGTGTGTGTGGGTGTGTATGTGTGATGTTGCTTTCGACTTGCTCGTTCTCGCTTTTCTTTTCTTTTTTCCCCCCCCAATACATGCGACTTTTTGGCAAAAAAATAGCTTTTTTTTTTTTTTTACAAGCCTTTCCCCATGGCCGTTGTTGTGATGTTGCTTTCTTTTTTATTTTCCCCATCCCATGGACGTCGAATTCATCTCCACGAAAAACTGTGCACGTGGATCAATTGATTGTGATCAAGGGCCTTCTTTGCGAGCGAAAAGAAAAAAAAAGAAAAAAACGGTGCACGTGGATCAATTGATTGTGATCAAGGGCCTTCCTTGCGAGCAAAAAAAAAAAAAAAAAAAAAAAAAAACTGTGCACGTAGATCAATTGATTAAGATCAAGGGCCTTCCTTGCGAGCAGTACTTCCGGATCCGGATCTGACGCCATGTGAATAAAGTGGAAAAGTGGGGTCAGCTCAGTGGGTACGCCTATGAAGTGTTGAAATAGACCTGTGTTCGAATCCGAATGGAACAAGATGAAAGAAAATTCTAAATCTACCTGGGGCTGGTGGTCAGCTCAACAGCGATGATATCAGAAGGCCATCGGCGGCCCATCACCCTTTTAAAGTAATTAAATAATAAGGGGAGAAAAGAAAACTGGGGTGGGGTTCATAAATAGGGGGGTACTAACTTGTAAGATCAGTCGAAGAACGTTCTTGCGCGATCTTGTCCTGAGGAATCGTAGGATTCAGTACTACCTGAATCTTGATGTGTTTGATCGAACGATTCAGAAAAGCATATCATGATCAATAGTGGTTTTCTGCACCTCTCCTTGAACACGTCCAGATTCACCGTTCAATCCAATCCTCTTGCTACTAGTTGGACCTCACCCTTGGAGGCCTGATGATCTCATTTAGTGGACGTTCGTTCTTTCCCGGTTTGGGCAGAATACCGGTTGCTCCGATCGATCGACGTTGATCTTTCTCTCCCATGTTTTTTTTTTTTTTTTTTTTTTTTAAGGTTGATTGCTCCGATCGATCGACGTTGGTCCTTCTCCCCCACGTTTTTTTTTCCTTTTTTTCCGTAGATCCTTCTCATGGGTTCATGCATCCTTTTCTTCTACTTAATTTTTTACCTTTTTTTTTTTTACTTCCTTTTTTTTTTTACTTTTTACTTTTTTTTTTTTGTTAAGGGGGACGGCCTTGTGATAGTATCGTTGAGCTGGCCGGCCCCAAGTACTTCAGGATTTTTATTTTTTTTTCCGATCTGATTGGGTCTGTGTTTCAACAGTTCATTGGTGTACCAACGGAGCTAGGCCCGTCGGTTTTTTTTTTTTTTGGCTACCTTTCTTACCTTTCTTTTTTATTACAACAGGCCCAGTGCCCAAGGCCTGCTGAAAAAAGTTAACACACCCTACAGGTAGCCGGTTCCTACCGGTTTCTGTAGATGCCCTGCAGCAGAGCCCAGTGCCCAAGCCTTCCAGAAAAGTGAACGCACCCTACAGGTAGCCTACCGTCTTCCCCCGAACATAACGCACCCTAAAAATGAATGTATACAAACTATATTGCCGGCCAGAAACAGCCAAAATAAGGGTGCGTTGTGTTCGGGGGAAGACGGTAGTGGGTAGGCTAAATTAGAATCGAACAATAGATGCAGGATAGTTTCTGACTACCGTCTTCCCCCGAACATAACGCACCCTCATTTCGCCTGTACCGGACAGGAAAGATGGCTTCTATACATTCATTATCAGGGTGCGTTATGTTCGGGGAGAGACGGTAGTAACAGATAAGAA